CCTTAAAACTGTCAGAAATATTTGTCGGAAACGGTCATACATCGTGTATATGTTGGAAACACGTATATATATATATATATATATATATCACGTATGTGTTAATGTAATAATTTATTAATCTCATAGTAATATAAAAATAATGAATGTATAAAATAGAATAGCAATTATTACGAATTACAATTCGTGTGCAAATTTTTCTCATTTAGCGAGTCAATATCTTTTTAAAGACAACTTTTAAGCCAACACACTACGAACATATAGCAAGCAATTAACCAACTCCTGACGAGTTCGTGATTGCACGTGACGAGTATAGACGAAAACGCGTGCTGTGTAATTCAATTCGCGTCGGATAAATCTCGGTTTCAAGTCATATCAAGCGAATTAATCCGCGAACGTAGCTTCGGTTTCGAGTCCATGCTGATGGCTTCGGCCGAGCTGCTAATTAATCGCCTCCGTACTCGCCAGTGGGCAAAAAAATCCGCGATAAATCGAGCCGAGTGCAGTCAGGACTTTACTCTTTTTTCTCTTCTTATACGCGCCATACGTCACCATAAGCGTCGAGCATATTTCCCGGCTCGTTCAGACCAGAGGTGAGGAAATCCATTTCGTCGGCCAGCAGTCGAATCCGCGATAAGTCAGTCGAGAGAAATTATGCAATGTGTTTCTGAACGAGGTTTCATTAAAAGTGCAACGTACATATATTACGCTACATTACGCGATTAAAATATTGAAATAATTAGCTCTAAAAATTTCATAAAGATCCGGATAGAATTTGATACATATTTAATTTGCTATCAAAAATTCTAAATATCTCTTTATTTCTTTTAATCTGGTATTAAAGTAAAATTAGACAAGTGATGATGTATTTTAAAGAAAAAAATATACAAAAAGTAAGTAATAAAGTAAAATATTATTTATCATCAAAATAAGAACTCAATTGTCAATTCTTTTATATAGGATATAATTTTTGACAGTTATAATCATTAGTAGATATTTGAATATTGCTACATTCATATATTATTTCGCATTTATCACATGAAAGTTTTACATAATACCTAATATCTCGCAATTCTGTCAAAAACTATCTTTTTCCTGTGCAATATAACGTGTGAATAGATTTTAAAAAGCGTGCTTTTGTTTGTATCTATAGTAAATGAGATAAAAAAGTAAATAAGTTAATAGAATATCAGAAATTACAACCGCAACAGTATATCGCTCGGTATGTCCCGCAGCAAAATAATCTTGTACATGTATAAAATTTACGAATTTTCAACTTATTCGAATTGATTATTATATTTAGTTGAAATTATATAACCTTTATGTTTTTTTAAAAGAGGAACAGATTTTTCTAAATATCATTTCCACTTATTTGTATATTTGTGGATTTAGTACAACAATGGTTTGCTAAAATATTCGCATCATGTCCAGCTGCAATTTTTTTAAAGAACTGTCATGATGCATGCCGGCATCCGACGCTTTTCGCGTAGTAGTGAAAGAACATTCGCATACTTTATGCGTACAACTCAAGCGTGCAGTCACAGTCGCGATAATGCTACGCGATAAGATCTCTTCTTCACAGTGACATTTTTATACCAGCCGCATATCGCACTCGTAAACCGAAGTAACATTTAATGTCAGTAAACGCTCCTACGAAACGTAGGTTGATGAGACATAACAGAACAAAGGTAAAATCTGAGACAATTACAATCTTGTTATGCTAATAGATTAATTAAAACTTACAATAATAAGGTATACTTTTCTGTAGTCTTCTGTACTGTTAAATTTGTAGTGTCAAATTTAACTTAATGTGAGTCGCCATTGCTCCTACTCAATCATTTCGTTGTTTTGTACTAAAACAATAGTTATATTTAACACTATACAGTGTCAATTTGACACGGTATAATGTCAAATTGACACAATATACTGTCAAATTTAATTATCGTTTTAGTAAAAAATAACGATATATTTAGTAGGAGCAGTGTCCAAGTAACAATTCGATGTCGTCCAAATCCCGTAAATGTCTTTCGTATCTACAATGTACCGCCCAAAGACGTCTAATAGATGTCGTTAATACGTCCAGTCTCGAATGACACAGATAATTCGGAAATTATTCATTTTT